TAATGTAGTCTGGGTGCGGCTCCTCCTTGCAGCCTGAAGGGGGCGCCCGGCTAACACACAAGTGACCCTGTGAGCTGGCTGTTCGGATTCAGTCCCTGTTGGGAAGAAGTGTTGGTCACACTGCTGAACAAGCTTATGACCATGCAGAGATATTTCTTATTGTGAACGGACAGAATAGCCTGATGCCAGCCAACATGGATTTAGGAAACACAGAATTTAGACTGGTATCTTAGAGATCTGTCTCTATCATTTTACAGTTGAGAAGACAGAGGCACAGAAAGGACATATTACCTGTCCAATAATTATTTCTCCTTTGATGTCCCACGAATAACGCACACTGTCCACAAAAGAGCTCATCATTTTTCTTCCCAGACCAGCTTCTGCTGAATTTTTTATCTTAGAGACTGGCACCTGTGACCTGTACCCATACAGCTATGCCAGAGAGCTGGGAGTCACCACAAACTCCGTCTCTCCCTTAGTCTCAGAGTTCCATCTGTCACCACCTCTTGCTAATTGTCCCCTATCTCTCCTATCCACAGCCAAGAATGGACTTCCATCTCCATTATTGTTTCTCCCTGATTCAGGATTACTTCCACCTGAACTAGAGGACATTTGGCTCTCAGATAACCACCTCTGGCATTATTCCTTCCCAGAGCAGCCAGAGTGACCTTCTGACACCCAAGTCTGATCATGCCTCTTTGCTGTTCAGAATTCGGAAGTGTCTCCGAATTAAGATGAGACAGGTGCATCTTGATGTGGCCCCGCCCACCTGTCGTGCCTCAATTCCTGCCACCAGCTGCATTCACAGGTACATTCTGATAAAGCCGATTGCTAGTGGTTGCCCAAGCATGACACATGCTCTCCTTCCTTCAGTTTCTCCATGTTGCATGTGCTGTTCCTTTGGTCCAGAATCCCCTCCTAAGGCCCCTCCCTGAAGCCCTCCAAGTTTCAGCTCAAAAGCTCCCTCTGTCCTGAGATGCACCTTCACCGTAACTCCCCTCTGACCTTTCCTCCCAGTCAGTCTTCCAGGGGCTCTGTAAGCTTCTGGCAGGGCAGCCTCTTGCAAACTTTAAATCCCTGGGGCCAGTCTAGGGCGAATGATCGATAAATGTGTGTTGAAAGGAACAGCTGGTTAATCAGCAAGACCCTGCCGCCTGCCTGGGAGCTCACGTGCAGCGAGGAAGACTGACTTCTACGCACTCCATGCTGACAGCAGGCTGGGGAGGGGGTGGTCAGACCCTCCCCTAGTGTCCGGAGAGGCGAAGGGGACCAGGTGCAAGTTTACATACACCTTTTCACAACACAACGCTGGAAAAAGAAATCCAAGTCTTGGCCGCTGAGCGTGACAAGAATGTGGGCTGGTGGAAAAGGCAGAGTCGCCTGGCCTGGGATTTCAAATAGGGTGTTTGGAGGGGAATTTTGACTTTCACTTTCCACAAGGAACCGAGGAAGGGATCTTGGCTGGTCTCCTCCCACGCCTGGAGGGCAGCCGTCTTCTCCAGAGGGTGACCAATCCGGCCGATGGGAGGTGGCTCCCTGGCCGCCTCCTTAAATGCTCCTAGAATCGTGCTGCAGGTTAAGGGATAATCTCTGAAAAATAAACAAATGACCACAAACCTTGTCTAAGAAAAATCCACTGTTCACCAGAGTCTGATTGAATGGACTTGGTAAAGAGAAACAAAGGTGGACTTTAGTAAAGCAATACACGGAGTTTCTTCAGTAACTACTGACACGTGGGGGAAAGAACTGAGCTCCAGCTCCAGGAACGCGGAGGTGACTGGGTTCTAAAGGGTGAATGAGGGAAGTGGGGCTCGAGCGCACACTGACAAGGGTTAGGGCAGGAGAAATGGTGTTGGGTCTCCTGTGTCTGTTGGCGGGCAGTTAACTAAGCGACGATTCTGTCCTCCCACAGAAACAGGAACAGGCCCTGTCGTTCTGGATGACTACAGTTCAAAGGAATGGCTCTCAGGTCCTTGAAACAGGCACTCGAGCTGTAGGAGGCGCACACACATCTGGATGGGACAGACGAGGACTCACAATGCTGAGCCCTTTGCCCTTTGGAGAAAGGGCTCTAAGGGAAAAGGGTCAGGGGCCTGTCTTCGGACGTTGGCAGGAACACACAGTGACATCTCCTGGCAGCAGCGAGCTTTTTCCGGCAGGCATTTTAACGGGGGACTGGGGTCACCCTCGGGAAGTGGCCTTACGCGGCAAGAAGCCACGCTCGAGTTTGTTCCGAGCGCAGCAGTTTCCACCGAGCAGTTATGGGCTCAAAGTTTTGCAGCTCTGAGAGCGATCTGCTCTGAGAGCGATCTGTTGGAGTTCCTAAACGTTTAATAATCTTCCGTTCGGCACCTACAATCCACTTTCACTGTTCCCTGCGCTCCAGTCGCGCCAACTACGTGGGCAGTGCTGGGGGAGAAGGGGCCGTGGAGAGCGGGGAGCGGGCGGGTGAGGCGGTTACCGTGCGCCGCAGGGGACCGGAAGGGGAAGGCCAGAAAAAGTGACCCCCGCGAGAAAGTGGATGGTGAGACCTCGGGTTTGGGGCGTCCCGAGCCCCCTCTCCCGCACCCCCCACCCAGAAGCGCCGGAGCGGCCCCTGCGCTCTCCGCCTCCCTCCGCCGGGTTACTGCGCGGTCCTTGGCGCCGCAGTGAGGCGCTCCCTCCCTCCGCACGGCCGGTCCCGCCGCCTCGGCGCGCGCCGAAAGGGTGTCGGGGCCAGTGGCTGAGCCAACCCTGGCTCCTCCCGCCGGCCCGGAGCCCCGAGCGCCCGGGCGCCCTCCCCGCGCCAGTCGCTGCCCCGTCTGTGCTCAGGGTCGCGCCCGTGATCGCGGGGCCATGGGCGCCGCCGGCTCGTCGGTGCTGGCCCGCCTCGGCCTCCCCGGGCGCCCAAGGCCCGGCTGGCTCGCGGTCGCCGCGCTGGGACTGGCCGCGGTGGCGCTGGGGGCCGTCGCCTGGCGCCGGGCGCGGCCCAGGCGGCGCCGGCGGCTGCAGCAGGTGGGCACCGTGGCGCAGCTCTGCATCTACCCGATCAAGTCCTGCAAGGGGGTGTCTGTGAGCGCGGCGGAGTGCACGGCCCTGGGGCTGCGCAGCGGCCACTTGCGGGACAGGTAGGGCCGAGCCCGTGCGCGGGGACAGCAAGGGATCTGCTGGGGATGGGGTGGGGTCGGGGAGCTGGGGCCTGTCCCGGGAAGGAGAATGGAGGTTTGCCACCTGGGTGTCCTAGGCTGCTTCTTGGTTTCTCTGCCTTGGATCCTTTAGCTGGGAAGGTCAGCTTCCTGTCTGGTTCAGATTGGGAAAGGTAGTCAGGACAAGTCTCTGTCCCTCCCTGGAGGAGAGGGTCATCCTCTGCAAAAGGATGGGATCTGGCCTGGTTATTTCCAAGGCTCCTGCTGGTTCTAAACTTTCTGATTCTGCCTTAGTATGAGCACAATAGTAGAAGAATAAAATGATATTGGCACTAGTAGGCAGACAGGAGCGTTGCTGAAACCAAGTCTTGTTCAAGGACACTGGCTTTGGCCTTGCTGGAACTTGGTCCTCACAGTTTCCGTTCCTGGGGAAGGTGCCTGGGGGATGCAGGAGATGGGGGGTGGGGGGGGACGCTGGCCTACTTTAATACATAGTGAGCAGAGTGAAGTCTTCTGTTGGGGAGAGGAGGTGACAGGGGGACAGTGAGCGTAATACTTGCCATTAAGGAAATAGTGTCCCCTTCCCCCAGAGGCAGAGTGGTTCCCGTGAAGAAATTTGTGTAAAGTCCCTACCCCCATGGGGCCTGGTACATAGAAATTTCATTCTCCTTCCTCAAAACAGATGCCCCTGTTGTTTTGTTCACCCCAGAGGTGAGCCCACAGACACATTCTCACTGACAGAGAATTGTGCAGCTGGGTATCGGGAAGGTGCTCTGGACAGGGAAGGATGCTAAACCCTAGAAAGAGTGATCAGGAAGAATGGAGCCTCCTTCTCTGCTTCCTTAGGATGAGGATGCTTCCCTGTCTGGCTGGGATGGTTTAGCTGTGGACCTGTCTAGGGGAAGGGAGGTTTGCATGCTGGTCGTTCAGGGAGCCTTCTAGCAGAAGCTGTCTGCTGCCCTGAGTTCACTCCAGGACACATGTGTTCGCTCTCCTCTGAAGAGTGTTGTCCTCTTAAAGAAGTGTGGGCATTGAAAAACTTTAGCTTGTTTTAGAGAACTGTTGTGTGTAGGCATGTAACTCACGAGGCATTTTCCATCCCCCTTCATCCCAGATTTCTGGCTCTGGAGAGTTTTTTAAGACTTTTTTTTTAAATGCTCAGATTATCACAGCAGCTTTATTTGTAATAGCCACAAATATGGAAAGAACCAAAATGTCCTTCGGTTGAAATGTCCCATTCAACCAAAATGGGTGAATAGTTAAGCCAATATCTCTTTACTGTGGAATATCACTGAGCAATAAAAAAGAAACCAAGTAATAAATAGAACATCGCTCAGTAAATAATATAATTTCCTGAGATTGTCATTTCAGACCCACAGAATCATGGCGGTATAGCTCAGGGGCAGAGCATTTGACTGCAGAATCAGAATCATTAAGAGTGAACTCGTGTGTGTGTGTGTGTGTGTGTGTGTGTGTGTGTATGAGTGTGAGAGAGACGGTGAGGGGGGTGGTTGCTTAAATCTCCCCAGGTGATCCTGATGCTATAACTAGAGGGGTAAGAAGAAGAGCATTTTTTAGAGCTGATTCAAGCATGAAGTGTTAGAAAAGCCTCCGACTGCTGGGAAGACTTCCGGCACAGGGAAGAGGTTAATTCTCACGATGCACATCCGGAGAAGATGGACTTGTGCAACGTCCTTCCTCACGTGAAGGTCTGATGTTCTTTCACAGAGAGATTTCCAGTTCTTATCTGTGTTTCCTCTGTTCATCAGAATACCTGTTGCTTTCCTGCTGCTCATTGTCACGACCTGGCAGGGACTCGTGCTTCCATGGAAAGAGAATATTTGTCCTTTGCTTTTCTGCTTCTGTGAGCATCTGAAAATAGATGGAACTATGTCAGCTCTGCCTTGTTTTGAACAATAAGTGCTTGGGATGGTGGAGACTGGGCTGAGGCAGGGAAGAGCAAGGGAACATACTTTTATTCCGTGTTTCCTATGCAGCAGTTGCTCAGCTACATCCTGTCACACACATGATGCTATTTCAGCTTCATAGCAGTCTTGTGGGCTCGATATTATGCCCACTTTGCCAGGAGGGAAACCCTATCAGAAAGGGTGAGTGTCTCACCCAGGATCACAGGATCCTTCTGTGCTGGTGGGGTTTGAACTCAGATCTCTGAGTACAGCACTCATGCCCTTGCTGGGAAACCAGTGTGAGATTTACAGAAGTAAGGGCTGCACAGAGGATCAGGAGACCTCGGGCAAAGTCACTTAACCTGTCTGAGCCTCATTTTATTTTTTTTTCATTTGCAAAAGAGGTTGAACTTGATGATCTGCAAGACCCTATCTAATCTAGATTTTGCTTATTAAAGGATAATTGAAACCTGAGAGCGAGCTGGAAAGAGCTCTGCTAGATAATATCATTCTCTCAACTTGAGATTTCAATCACAAAACTACGAGCAGTCCAGCATGCAGGGAAAGCCTTCCTTTCTTTATTTCTAGTTTGAACCTGTGTCTTTGGAACTGATCTCAGAAGCTGAGAGCTTCCTCTGCAAGTGCTCGGTGCCTTAGATTCCTGGAACTGTTTTGATCAAAGTCCTTAAATATTTGCAAATGCTTGGCCTGAGCACACTGACCTTTGAGCTCATTTCAAGTCCGCCCAGCAGAACGCTGGCACTGGCCGTTTGGCACAGATGCTGGGAGGGCATGGCTGCCCTCCTTGACCTTGTAAACCCCCACTCTCCTTAGCAGCCATATGTGACTTGCCATTGATAAATCCATCCCAACCCTTTACGGAGCCAGCTGTTCTGCACGGACTATGATCTCCTGGAGAAATGAATCCCCTAAGTTCATTATCCCAAGCACCATTCCTTCCTGCCTTCACCCACTAGCTCCGTGTAGTGGGGCCCCATCTTCCCTGCTGCTCTCCCAGCTCAGTCATTCCTGCATCCCAGGCCAGTCAGTCTGTTTAGAAGTGCGACTCTCCGGCTGACTTGGACTCTGCGTCCTGAACACACAGCTGGTGGTTGCTCAGGGCATGGCTGTTTTTTTGGAGACTCTGAGCTCGGGGCTCTGCACTGCTCTTCGCTCTGCATTCTCATGTTTGATGTGTGAAATGAAGGTGTCGGCTTTCAGGGTGGCAGGCGAAGTTGGGGAAACTTGATCCTGAAAAAATTTACACGCCACACATAGCCTTTCTTTCAGATTTGGCAGAAAAGAGGTACGTATTCATTCCCTGGGCATCGTTTGTGTGCCGGAAGTGGGAAACATCATCTCTCCTGTTACAGGGTAATGAGGGGAAATAAGCATGGCTGGGGGTTGTATTTTTTAATTGCTGTCTTCCTCCTAGTACAGTGTTGGGCTGATTGCAAGTTGCCACTTGCCCCTTCACTGGCAAGTTTAGTGCAGAACCCCTTGCACTTCTGTGACCTCCCAGGAGTTAACCCCCATGTGATTATGCAACAGGCTAGAGCTGCAGGTGGGACTTGAAAGCCAGAGTGAAGGGCTGAAGTTGGGGGGTGGATGGGAGGTGAGAAGTCTCAGCCCGGGGAGGAGGCTGACTGTTAGAAATAACGGCCACCCACCCGGGCTGTGACCCGTCTGGACGCGTGTCTGGTCGTGCGCAGCTCTCAGAGCGGGGCGGGCCATGTTGGAAGCTCAGGTGCAGGCTGTGCTGGAGTTAACTAGAACAGGGTCATCCAAGACTCTGCTCCCAAGGATGAAGCTGGAAATAGGGAACAGTGCTGTAGCAAAGTAGGAAATCCCTGGGTCACAGGTGAGCGGGCTAGAGAACCCTGGGAACCAAAGGCTCCTAGAGAGAGAAGCGTGGGTTCCTTAGGGAGTCGGGGGCCTGCTACTGCCCAGCATCCCCAGCTCCTGGGAAGAGCGTAGTCACAGCAATTCCTAAAATGCACTGTCACCACCGCCGCTGCTGTACCCTCTCCCAGCGCACATGCCAGTTAGCAGGGCTCGGGCCAGCCCCTGTCTGCAGGCTTGGTTGCAGGGGAGGGCGGTTTATCCAGCACCTGGACAGGGATAGGTTGCCTGACTGGGAGGTTCCAGCGGGGAGGTTCCAAGGTCAGGTCAGGACAGGGCAGAGACCGGGCTCCCTGCACTGTGACTGTGGACGTCCCCACCAGGTTATCTCGAACCTTCCATCTGGCTTCAGTCATAGTTGGAAACGCCTCCCTCCTCCCGGAAGGGGCTGCCCTTTTTATCCTGCTGACCTGTGGAAGGCCCCAGCTCTCGGTGGTGGCTCACACGTCAGAGCCCAAAGAGTTCCTCACCTTGTTGTGTCTAAAGTAGTGATGTGGAAACTCATTTTCCTTAGAGGCAGATAACTTTCTTTTTTAGTGCTCAAATCTGTGTGGTGTAACCCCAAGTAGATGCTCTGCTATAGATAAGAGCCTAACAGAGCTAACAGGTTCAGCCTCCCTTCCCGCTCTTCAGCTCACCCGCCCCCCACACCCCCGTGGATATGACACACAGAGTGTGAACGTGGGCCTAGAGCAGTAGGCCCTCCCGGAGGTGAGTGGAGTTCTTATCTAACACATGGTTTGCACGAATCTTTTTTTTCCTCCAGCTTCATTGAGATACAATTGATATATAACGTGTGTAAGTTTAAGGTGTGCAATGTGATGCCTTGATACACATATATATTGTGAAATGGTTCCCATAATAAGGTTAGTTAACGCATCCTTCCTCTCACATGATTTCCATCTCGTTGCTGTTGTTATGATGAGAGCACTTGAGATTTTCTCTTAGCAACTTTCAAGTACACAATACAGTATTGTTAACCATAGCTGCCATAGTGTACATTACACCTCTTAGAATTTGGCGCTTTGTACCCGTTGACCACCTTCACCGATGTCCCCCACCCCCTTCCCCTGGCAACCACCAAGCCGCTCTCTGTTTCTAGCAATCTCCCTTTTTGAGATTTCACAATTGAGTGAGATCATATAGCATCTGTCTTTCTCTATGTGACTTATTTCACTTAGCATAAACTGTCAAGTGTCTTCCATGTCGTCATCAATTGCAGGATTTTCTTCCTTTTATGGATGAATAATATTCCATTATATATGTATATATATAACATTTTCTTTTTTTATTGTGATAACATTGATTTATAACATTATAGAAGTTTTAATGTTTGCATGAAGAGGAGAGGCTGTTTAGGGGTTTCCTGATTAGAGTCCGCGTACTGCAGCAAGTTAAACCAAGGAGAAGCGGGTTTGCGTCCTCTGGATTCACAACAACTACAAGACTGTTGCCTAGAGCTTCAGTCCACTTGGGCCAGTAGTTTCTGGTCAACCCCATCTTGTCCCACAGCAAAAAGATCTGGAAGACATTTCGCTTCAACCAGAGAAGCGTTTAAGAGGCTCAGGGAAGTTTCTGACCAAAGCAAATTCCCAAAGTCAGCAACGTAGCCGCCCCAGGGGCAGGGAGGGTTCCTACACCAGCCTCATTCTCTGGATTTTCAGGACTGGGGATTTTCATACATTGGCCAGATCCTGTCTCCTAGTGCTATTTGTGCCAAACAAGCCCCTTTTGGGGACACTAACTTTTGGACCCAAAGAATCCAGCCAGACCTAGATTACTGAAAGAAATTGTGCGATCCTGAGTCAGGGCACGAGGAGGGTTTTGGGAACAGAAAGCTCGAGGGAAGCTGTGGAGAGGGCAGCAGAGGATCTTCTGAGGGTGTCCCTTGTTTGTCTCTTGGCAGGTTTTGGCTGGTGATTAAGGAAGATGGACACATGGTGACAGCCCGGCAGGAGCCTCGCCTTGTGCTGGTCTCCATCACTTACGAGGACGATCACTTCATCCTCAGGGCACCGGGCATGGACCAGCTGGTTTTGCCGAGCAAGCTGCCTTCCTCGAACACGCTCCGTGACTGCAGGTGCTCTGTCTGGGGGCCTCCGGGGACCCACCACAGAACTCATTTTCTTTTAGGCTCTCCCCTGCCCTCTGCCTTGAGGCCCTTTGTACAGTAGGTGATGAGATAGGTAAAGAAAATATTTAAGAGACGTCTGGTCTATGCTGGGACCAAGCCAGTGGTCAGGTAGGTGTGAGTGGGTGAAGCAGAATGTTGCATTAAGGATACTGGGGATTTGTTTTCATCAGATGTAGCAAGACATACAGACACGGAAATGACTGTCATGAAGAAAGGAGCTTTCTATATTTACAGATCCCTAGAAACAGGAGGCCATGCCATGCAGGGCCACATGGGGAAGTCCCAGGGTCCATCAGGAGGCAGAGGGAGCAGGGGGAAATGTGAGCAAGAGTCTCTGCTCCGGTTTCTGTGTGCTCTGGGGCACAGGGGCTGCTTTAATTGTCTGCTACCTGGCCCTGGGTGATTAGAGTTGGGGGATAGTGGCTGGAGTGTAAAATCACAACAGAGGAGGTGGTTGGGGTGAAGGCTTGGGATTGGCTGGTTTGTGTATAAAAGCCTTGTGTTTTACTATCTCTAGGGGTTGACTAGGTCTGGGAGGGGCAGTCCCTTCAGCATCACCAAATCCCAAGATGTCAAAGCATCAAAAATACAGAAAATAAAAAGACATTATTAAACAACTATAGAGAGGGTACAAAGGGCCAGCCTTTAAGGTTTGTCTCTTTTATTCAAGTAGGATGGACTTCTATTCAGAATTGCCAGCCCTCCAGCCAGGCAGACGAGGGCATCGGTGGAAATGTTACCACCTGTATCTCAAGGTTGGGTGATGAGGATGCTGGGGCTTTTCAAGGTGACTCTGCAGCCTCTGAGGTCTGAGATTGAGACCAGGGCACCTCCAGCAGGATTCAGATGGAAGAGATTCCACCTCTGGTGAGAGACACACCTCAGGACTGGGCTTCGTTTCAGTCTATGGGACCCTTGTAGGGCCGTCCATTTCCGTGGCTCATCAGGGAATCCAAGAGGCTGAGACACTTGTCAGGGGTGCTCTGGGTCCCTTTGTGACCACCGGAGCATTTTCAGCATGTGGATAGTGGTGCTGTGGGAGAGCCTCAGAGTACCCTGGTGCCCTCGTAGCATGCTTTTACCAGCAAAGTATCTGAACTTGAGCATCAAGGTGCCACAATTTTGAAAGCCTGAAGCACTAGTTCATTAAATACAGTGTTTCAGTTAAATTATCTCAACAAGCTTATGAAGTAGATATCAGTAATTCCACTTTACAAATCAGGAAACCAAGACTGAGATCAGTGTTGTTACAGAACCAAACTTGGGTCTGCTCACCAGAAGGGAGCAAGGTCCATCTGCTGACACCAGGCTGTAGTGAAGGAAAGCATAGTGTTTTGTTTTTTTTTTGCAAGGTGCCCAACATGGGACCAAGCAAGGAGAATGGAGAGCTTGTGCTCAAAAGACTCAAACTCCCTGATGGCTTTCAGGGCTGATTCCTGAGCATCTCTACCTTGGACTCCCTCACGTACATCACCCCAGGAGCCTTCAAACTGGGGGAGGCACTCACATGGGGAGATGCAAACACTTTCGTGGTACTTAAAGTCATGGTCACTTTAAGGGAATCAATTTCCAGATCCTCAAATCCCGTAAGTTCTTCCTCCAATAGTGATCCAAACCTCACCTGCAGTGGGCAGGTTCTCCTCTCTGCCTCCCCTTTGTACAGGTAAAAGGCTTGCCTTCATATCTTAGGGAGCATTGCCCTCAAAGGGAAAAACCTAAGAAGCCTGAACAAAAAAAAATTGGTGTTGATAAAGGAGAATGTCTCTAATGACAGGGTAAAGTCATTCTACAGGATTGTGGTTCAAAATCTGTCTTACAGTAAAATGAAGGTGCCTCTAGCCAAATTGTTGCTGATAAATCATTAAAAATACTTTTTTGATGACTGATTCCTAAGTGGCAAAAATCATAGAGGGTTCAAAGAATGAATGAAGTTACTATAACTCCTTCCATTCCATGTTTACATGAAAAAAGTTTCTTAAGGCTTATTTTTTTAAAAAAAGAATAAATGTCTGCTGAGCCTTGTCTTACTTTAGTAATAAGATTCATACACAGATACAGGGAGGCTTTACAGGATTCATTAAGAGATTAATTTCAAATCAAATTTTCTTTTTTATGCTTAGTAATTATTAAAATGGATGATTCACTTTGTTGTGATTAATTGTACCCAAATAAAAATTGTAATGATAACTCAATCCTGGAATTCAGAAACGAAGAAAATTCAGTTGGTTAAAAGGTGATCCATAAGTATAAAAATATAGCAAGATAACATTATGTTAGAGAAATAGAATGTACACATGAGATCAAGAATAAAAAGTGGAATAGTATAAAAATGCAGACCATTAAAAGAACCTAAATAGACATTTTTCTAAAGATATGTAGATGGATAACATTAAGCATCAGGGAAACACACATCAAAGCCACAATGAGATATCCCCTCCTGCCTGTTAGGTTGGCTGTTATGAAAATCACAGTGATTTTGGAGGGTGTGGAGAAAAGGGAACCTTTGTGCACTGCTGGTGGGAATGTAGATTGGTGCAGCGACTATGGAAAACTTCATGGGGATTCCCCCCAAAATTAAAAATAGAACTACCATTTGATCCAGCAATGCCACTTCTGAGAATATATCTGAAGGAAATGAAAACAAAGCATTACGTCAAAAAGATACCTACACCCCCATGTTCATAGCAGCGTTATTTACAATAGCTAAGACGTGGAAACAACCTAGGCGGCCATCAGTAGATGAATGGACAAAGAAACTGTGGTATGCATATAGACAGTGGGATATTATTCAGCCATAAAAAAGAATGAAATCTTCCCGTTTGTGACAACATGTGTTGTATATCAATTATATCTAAATAAAACTGGAGAAAATTTAAAAAATAATTTTTAAAAATATGGACCATAAAAGAAGCCCCTAATCATTTTTTTTTTGTGGATAGGAGTGGCTATCAAACCACCATGGCATTTGGATTCCATTATATGCTTTTAAAAGCATAATTTTATTTTACTTCAATCTTTATGTGTTTATAATATTAATATACAATATGATTTATGTCTTAATTTTATTTTAATGTTAATATTTATATTTCAATGGAAATTTTATCTTTCCCAACAAATTAAACTTATAAAAAAGTTTACATGTCAACTTGCAATTCTGTGAGGGGTAAATGGCTTTTAAAAAATCTTTTGGGGATACTCAAGCAAAAAATCCCTGAAGACTTCTTTGTTATCTACTGGAATCTGTTTCCACCATGTGGGGCAAATACTTATTATTGTCTTCAGTTTATAACTGGAGACAAAGTGTCAGAAGAGTTTAAGAACTTGCTCAAGGTCACAGGCTAGAGGCTGGCAGAGTTTCAATTTGAACCAAGTCTACCGGACTCCAAACTCAGCGTGCATCCACTTTACCATGGTCCTTCTCCCCATCTGAAAGCATCCTAAATCCTTGCTACTCAAAGTGTGGTCCATGGACCAGCAGCCTAGACATCCTAGCATTTGGAATGTAGAATCTCAGGCTCCAACACGAACTACTGAACCACAGTCTGCATTTCAACAGGATCTGAGTGAGTTACAAGCGTATTAGGGTTTGACGAGCTCCTCCCTGGAGCACGTTCTGCTCCCTCCCCCTCTGCATCTGCCCAGCTTTGGTCCAGGGATCACTCACTGGTCTTCTGGGATAGTCAGGTCCCAGGAGCCCAGCTGTTCTTCTTGACCCCATCACTCAGTAGGTTGGTGGAAGAAAGTAACCCTCCTGCTCTCTGCGATCCTTCCAGGGTGTTTGGTCTTGACATCGAGGGCAGGGATTGCGGTGACGAGGCCGCTCAATGGTTTACCAACTTCTTGAAAACAGAAGCTTTCAGGCTGGTTCAGTTTGAAAGCAACATGAAGGGACGATCATCAAAGAAAATCTTCCCTTTTGTCCAGAATTACCAGGTGAGCTTGCAGAGAGCTGCCCTTCCCTTTCACCTTCCCTCTTGGCCCACAGAGAGCCTCTCTTGGGGCCCCAGTTAGGAAAGCGCAGTGACGGCCCAGGGGAGTGGTATTGAGGGGGCCACCGGTGGGGCAGGTACCGGGGATGGAGTGGGAAGGGGATGAGAGCCTGCTGGGCTCTCCAGGATGCGTGGAGGACAGACTAAGGGAGAAACTGTGGAGGGAGAAGCCAGGGCTGACTCCCAGGGAGATGGGGACTCAGGAAAAGATGGGCTGGGAGGCGAAAGTGAGGTTTGCTTGGAATTAAATCCAGGTCTCCTAAAATTACAGAAGCAAACTTTCGCCACGCCCTCCCTCCACAGCCAGTGTGGTGTGGTTGTTTCCGGTGCTGAGAAGGCTTCTGTGTCAGCTACAGCCCCCAGACCAAAGCCTTTAATTCTGCAGTGAGATGAGGTTTAAAATGCAGGCATCTCAGGGAGCCTCTCCCCACACTCCCTGAACTACAAGCTCCTTGAATGCTGGGTTTTTAAAACTCTGCTGTATTCACTGCTATTTCCCCACCTAGAACAGTGCCTGATACACAGTAGGTGCTTAATAAATGCATGTGAGTGAATGGGTGCTGCCGAAGGAAATCATTCCTAGAGTGTAGCTGATTGGCAGCAGACCTTTTCCCTGTCTGATGATGATGTGGGAAGACGCTCACTGCTCGGCACTGGAGGAACAAGAGATGGGGCCAGAGGGTCACGTTGGCCCTGAGCCTTGGCTGCTGCCTTCAGTGTGTGGATGGGGAGCCCCTGCCTGAACCCCAGGGGGCAGGAACCATGCTTCAGCGCTGACTTGGCGGTTTCCAAGCCTGCAGTGTCATCCCTCCTTCTCGAACAACACGCTCCCTTTCGGCACTTGGGAAGTCTTGCTTCTGGACTTTGCTTAGCTTTGCAGTTGGTCTAAGCAGTTCCGCGGGCAGTGAAGCCTAGTGGTGCTGTGTCCTCGGCACAGGTGGCCTACCCGGACTGCAGCCCTGTCATGGTCCTCTCGGAAGCCTCTCTGGCAGATCTGAATACGAGGCTGGAGAAGAAAGCGAAAATGAGCCAGTTCAGGCCAAATATCGTGGTGACAGGCTGCGATGCTTTTGAGGAGGTAAGCGGCTCTCTGCTTTTATGCCGATGCCCAGATGTGCTCCTTTTGCTGCCGCCAAGCCCGGCCCTCCGAGCCTGGCAGGTGGGAAGCCTCTCCTTTTCCAGCAATCACCTTAGCCTCGTGAAGTGGTTCTCTCATTGCTGCCACCATCACCTCGCTGGCCTCATGGGGGCGCTGTTCACCCTTTAGTGCTAAGACCCCAAAGCAAGCAGTCCAAATTATAGCAAGTCTGGGAGGAGGCTAGAATGTATAATCATAGCCCAGAGGTAACGAAAGGGACATGAAAAGAACAGCCCCCTCTCCTTTTCCTGGACCATCCATGAGCGCTCAAAGGTTTGAGACCTCTGGAAGCCCCAGACCCCAAAGTGGAGGCCAGGAGGATACAGGTGATCCACCTGTGAACGGGGCCCTGGGGACATTCCATGCTGTGGCCTGAGTTCTTTCCCGGAGGACCCACTTGCTCTCCTGTGTGCTTGAAACCAGAAATATCTACCCTCCAAAGACTCAGCCCCTTGTAGCCCTAAAAGGACAATTACATCAGAACCCACTTGTGACCTGCGATCTGTACACGAAATACCTATAGCCGGGTGTTGCTTTGTACTAAGGGACACCAGCAATCACTAAACACTGAGAGTGGGCTCAACTTTGTAAGTTACATTTGCAATGATTACTGTGGCAAAGCAATCTGTGTGAAGCAACTCATTGGTTCCGCGCCTGGCACCCAGTAAACACCCAATATTTAACATTTGTTGCTGTTATTTCCAGTGACCGGGTGGGCAGCACCGTCCCAGGAGAACCTCCTGCGAGCAAACAGGGCTGGAGACGTGCTGACCCGGGAGGGATGACGGGCGAGGGTTCCAAGTGGGCGGGAGGGGAAGGCCATGGGCTCAGGCCATTCTCAGGCCATCAGCTTCTCCGGGAAAGAGACTTGACTTTCTCCCTAGGAGTAAATCCAGATTTGGCATGATCTGAGGTGTATGCTATCTGAGGGGATTCATTAAGAAAAGAAAGTAACAAAACCAAAATTAAGTGCAAGGCTTCGAAAGGGTCCGGGGCCTGAGGCTCAAGCTTCATTATCAGAATTCCCGGTTAACTCACCTGGTTCTCCTCTGTTCTGCTTTCCTGTGCTGATGAGCAGAGGATCTTGAGCCATGAGATGCTTGTTAAACACCGGAGGAAATCAGACTGAGCCTTAACAACGCATGTTCCTGGAGACGGATTAGAAATTAGTCCATGAAGCAAAAATCTTTGTGCAGGAGTCCTATAACTGGTCCATTCTTTGCTGAAAACCTTTCTTTTAAGGAATATGATTTTTCTTGATTTGACTCCACTGAAGATATGAATTTTAGTTTAAGCTCTTAACCCAGAGGAATGAGAAAAGATACTGTCATTCCTGGCTAAAAAGTTTTTGCTTTCCCGTAAATTCTTAGTTTGCCAACTAAGAATTTTTGCTTACCTCTAACTTGTTGAACTGAACCTAATGTAAGCCTAGTCGTATTCTCTTAGGCAATTTGAATGGGTGGAGTCTTTTTTTTCCTTCAATTTAAAAAATTTAAGTGACCTTGTACTCCCAAGTCCATTTGCTATTTCAGTCCTGCATTGTGATGGGTTTACAGAAATAGTAGGTAAGGTAGAAAACTCTTGTTTTTCTAGAGGAGCTCTCTGGTTATACACATTTAAAAAAAATCTTTACTATAAAATGATGCTAATGTTGCTGATTTATTCTCCCTTAAATTAACAAGCCCATGAGTTAAGGCCCTGATACATTAACCTGTCTCCCTGGCACCATCACACAACTATAACCCTTCCAATTAGTGGGACTCTGTTAAATATTAACATAAAATGATAGCACACATGAATATTTCATAGACTAACTAATAATAAAAATACAGCAAACCTAAGCATGGTTCAAAAATTCAGGTGCAAAAATTTATTGCAAAATCATAGAGCAATAGAGGGTGCGTTATGCAATGTTTACTCTTTGTGACTCAAAGCACTTTGTACTTTTTCCATGTAATTCAGAGTCTTAAGCAAATTTTAAAAAGCGGCTTCCATTGGGCCAGCGGGGTGTGTCTGAATTCTGGGAACGTGGAGCCAAGAAATTTTAAAATGATATCATCGACCAAAGTTTCTTATCTCTGTAGTTGACTATTTCGGGGGTCACTGTTTCCCAAACTTTGCTCGCTGTCCTGGTTAGCAGGACTTGGCATTTTGGGGGAACGTTTGGTTTATATCATTCCTCACTCCACATTATGAAAGGTCTGAGGAGAAGCTTGCAGGAACCCCTGGGCGTGTGGTCTGTCACTCGGAAAGTGCTTCTCCCAGGAGCTTCTAGAGAGGCAGGAGATTCAGAGGCCAGACACCTGTGGTTTGAACCCCAGCCCCATCGCTCTCCAGCTGTGTGAGTCCAGTCCTCCCAGTACTGTCCTCTGCAGCTGCTGAAAAACAAAGTTTTTGCAAACCAGCGTTACTTTTCAGTCCTCAGTAACCCAAGCTGGGATGAGTTAGGATGAGTTTATTTGAACGCTTAGAAAAGAAGTCTCTGCTCTGGTACTAGAACAATAATCTCTTCCTGGTTTCAGGAATTTCTGAAGCCATGATAATAATAACAACACTATGTAAAACAGTAACAAAAATGACAGTAACAATTACGGCTCACGGTTCCCCAGGGCCGACTATGTGGCAGCCACTGTGCCAGACCCTTTACTGGCATTATCTTAATCTTCCCAGTTACCCTTTCCAATCTGCGGGTCACAACACATTATCAGGTTACAGTATCAGTTTAGTGGCGTTAAAAAATAAAGAACAGAGGGGGAGGGTATAGCTCAGTGGTAGAGTGTGTGCTTAGCCTTCAGGAGGTCCTGGCTTCAAACCCCAGTAGTGCCATTAAAAATAAATAAGTAAATCTAATTACTGGATTTTCCCGAGTGATGGGGCGATAGGAGTGTTTTTGGTTGTTAATAACAAGCCCCTTTCAGTCACCCCGTAGTTTATGCTAATGAGGTGAGTGTTGAGATGTGGGAGACAGGTAGGTAGCTTCAGGATGGAGGCTGGCCACCAGAAAGACCAAGCCATGATTACAGAGTTGGAACTTTTGGCCCCACCCTAGACCTCCAGGGAGGGGAGAGGGGCTGGGGTTTGAGCTCAAGGATTTAATCGGTGATTTAATCAATCTTGCCTATGTAATGAAACTGCCATAAAACCCCTAAACAATGGAGTTTGGACACATTGAGGTGCCAGGAAGGAGGCACGTTTGGAGAAGGGTGGAAGTTCCCCGCCCTCCTCCTATGCCTGCCCTAGGTATCTCTTCATTCAACTGTTCCTGAATTGTATTCTTTGTAATAAACTGGTAACAGTAGAGCACTTTCTTGAGTTTTATGAGCTCTTCCAACAAAATGTGGTACCCAGGAAGGGGTCATGGGAACATTTGATTTATGCTGGTTGGTCAGAAATATGGGAGACCAAGGACTTGTACTGGTGTCTGAAGTAGGGGCAATCCTGTAAGACTGAGCCCTGAACCCTCTGGGTCTGTGCCAACTCCGGGCAGTTAGTCAGAATTGAGTTAAATTTTTGGACAGCAGTTGGTGTCAGAGAATTACAGAACTGGTTTTGAAAAATACACCATGTATTTGATGTCAGAAAGAATTTGAGAAACTTTCTAGGCTAAAATGATTTTTTAAATGTGTTATAATACTTATTATTAAAAAAAGCAAAAAGAAGAAAAAATAAAAATCTATTTAAAAAACAAATAATACTATTTAAATTTGAGGAGCCTTCCAAATACATTGCCATAAATATACACACCTAGGTATTTATACAGATTTTTTTACTTAGATGAAATCACCCTGTGCACATGTGGTGTATATTATAGGTGTGCTTTTTTCACTCTCGGACACCTTGAACATTATTCAGTGTGATTAAATGTAGATTCACACCCTCCTGTCCAGTCCCCAAACAGGAATTCCACGTGTATTTAGCCAGCCTCTAGTCGATGGCTTTCTTTTTTTTTTTAACTTTTTTTATTGATTTATAATCATTTTGATGGCTTTCTGAGCTTACTGTAATCTTGTACAGTCATTGGTACCAAGCCAGGAAGATTGCTCAGGATTTCTAAACAACAGTTACATAAAACTTACTCACTCATTCCCTCAGTTTTCCCCAACAGAGCTTAAAACTGCTTCTTACAATTACATGTACGGCACAATATAATGAACTCATGAGTGGCCATGAGAGAGTCGGGAGCAGGGAAAGGGAAGCCCCCATCTTCTGACTGAGACTCAGGAGGAGAAAGGTCTCTGGCGGTGGTAGGTGGGCCCAGCCTGAGGTGTAGGTGCCCAAAGCCTCTGCAGCTGTCGGTCTGATTAGAATTGCTGATCTGATCTGTGCTCTTCAGGGTAACTCCTTCTGTAGCCCAAAGAACAGCAGAGCACTCAGGTCTTCTGTCTTTCCATCTTACTGTCAGATGTCTTGTCCTTCTATGGTTACCTGGTAGCCAAGAGCTCACCTTGGTCTCCATTCTCACCTGCGGTTCTCTTCTCTGTCTCTCTCTCTCTAAATATAGATAGATAGATAATAAATATTTATACATGTGTATATAAATATATAAAGGTGGTATAGTTATATATTCTCTCTCTATATCCATTCCCTCTCTCCAACTATATATAGCCTTGTATATATGTGTAGACACATGTGTATAATCCTATACCATATATATGGAGAGAACCATAACATATATAGAGAAAGATGGGTACATACTGTCTATATGTCTATTCCCTCTCAGTATATGCGTATAACCATGTGTGAGTGTGTGTGTGTAGCATTATGGCGAGAGAGACTGATCTCCTGTCTTATCTTTAGCTTTTTGCTGGGCACAGGCTCTTACACTCTCCAGGAAAGGCTCACCATAATCAGACACCCTCCCCTGTGCTGTTCCGTGTGTTCCACAACCACCACCCCAGACCCTTACTTCACATCTTTCTCTGGGTGCTACATGTGATAGGAAACCATGCAGTGTTCATTTAGTGTTTACAGGGTGCCTGCAAACTACTAACAAATTCTCAGGATTATTCCACATCACTGAGCCCATTATGTGTAGTCCTTTCCCCCTTTCTCCCTGCCTTCTCTCTTCCTTTCTTTTTCCACCTCCAAAACTCCAGGGTTCTATTCCCTTCACTCTAAAGGAACATCACAGCCTGAATTTTGCCAGGCTGCAAAGAGGCTTCTCACCAGCAGGGGGAGCAGTAAACTTTTGGGGGTGTTAAGGGAAGATAACCTCCAATGACTAGTACAACATAATGGAAAATTTAATTTCATATATTATTAATTTAATTTACACTTACTTTTTCAATAAACTGAAAATTAATTATTATTTTCCTCCTACAACAAGATTAATAGTTACATTTAAATTTAATTTGTTAGGTTTTTGTTGTTGTTGTTTTTTAATGCAAATAGTGCTTCACACCAAAATGCTGACAATGATCAGATTAGGATGGATGATGTAATTAAATAAGGTGATTAATATTTTAGGGGGTAATTAGACCTGGCATTTGGAGGATTTCCCACAGAATGGGCAATTTGGTATTCTAAACTGGGTACTGCAGTTGTGTAGTAGTGCAGATTAAACAGAGCAGATTAAATGTTTTGTTAAACTAGGAAATCTAACTGAACTTTTCAGACTACCTGCTTTATATCATTGTCATGAGGCAAACTTTCCACAGATACGTGGCTTTGAAATATGGAATTCATCAGCCTTTGTAAAACGAAATCTAACGGAAAGTACTTGGAGATCTGGGGGGAGAGCTGGGGCGCGATTCAGCCCCTGCTGCCGGATCGGCTCCCGTGCCTGTGGCCGCAGCGCCCTCGTGTGGCCAAGTGCGTCCAGCCTTTTTAGCCGCTTCCGGGTCCAGGCACCGCAAGACCCATTACTTCGCCCGCGGGAGCTGTGCTTCTGGCCATACCCCGCGGGAGGTCCCATTCCTCCCGGAGGTGAACCAGGCGCTCTGGCTGTCTTGCAGTTTTGCGTTTGAACATTGTTTGTAAAAAGTCCTGGCTGGGATATTAAGATTCCATTTTGCAAGATGGGGCCTTGCCTTTTACAAGGGTTACCTAGAGTTCACCCTTTGACTCATTGTTTGGAACTTGGAATTTCTTTCCAAACAGAAGCAGTTTCATAAATGATGGTTGGGAACCAGGGCATCCAGAGATCTCTTTACCTCAGTCGGGTAGCTGTGGTCATATCCCGCAGGAGATTTCTGGGTTGGGAAGAACCATGGAGGAACTGGAATTCCTTTTGTGCTTTTTCTGAATCACCCGTACGGGACCCGCGGATTGAGCAGGGGGGTGGTTAGTGAACCCCGAAAGAGGACTCTAGCTTGATTGGAGCCTGGTCATCAGAGGCAAGGGGAATGTTACCAGTCTCATCTCCCTGCTCTGCCCTGCTTCTTGCAGGACAGACGTGGTCTTCTCTCCTGCCCCCCCAGGGGGAGCAAGCCACCAGGTGAGAGGAATAGATGCCTCATTTCCTCACTTGGAAGCTGATTCTCATCAAATCCCTTAGATCCGTGGTTTCCAAAAACCTCAAAACCTCACTCGGGTTGAGGGCAGAATACCATTTTCAAGGGACTTTTTTTTTTTTTTGCATCTGATTATAGATACTGTTGGTTTATGGACCCCAGCCCCCATCTCCCAATGCCTCCCACCTGTCCCCCTGGGGCCTGGATAAAGGATTGTCCCATGAAATGTAAACTTCTTGGAAGGCTTTCCTGTCAGCAAGAGAGGCCTGTGTAACAGACCCTCCTCATGTATATATGCACTTATATGTATGTGTGTATATATGTGAATGTGTGTATATACGTATATATAATGTAATGTCTGTAATCTCCATATGCGTGTATGTATGTGTGTGTACAGATAGATAAACAGATACAGTTAAAAGCTGGGTGGTTAAAAAGTCCCCAATCACAATGGTTTTCAAACCTAGGTGCTGTGACCTTAAGGAAATTTTGTAATCTCTCTCAGCCTCTGTGACTGTGTGAAATGGGGACCATAAGAACACCTCCCTCAAAGTTGTGAGGCTCCAAGCCCTGAGGCAGACATTGGCAGGGCCTCCAGTTCAAGGGTGGGAAAGCAGGGCCTGCGGCCTTGGAGGGCCAGGAAAGGGCGCAGGCTGCAGCTGAAGGGGTGAATCTTATAAATGACTTTCCTTGGGTCATGTCCCACCCACCATGGAGCCATCAGACTGTAATGTGGCTTCCACTGCAGCTTAGCCAAGGGAAAGACGTTCCTCATTATGTATTATTAACTTGACCTGGATCTGCTGTGTGGCTCTCATGACAGACTGCCCCTCAGAGAGCGGTTCTTCTTGCTGTTGCTGACGGAGGCAGGCTTCTGAGATGAAGTCAAGAGCTCCATCCTGGACGCACCAACGAGCCGCCTCCCTGGGTCCTTTTGGGAGGCCCTTCACGACGTCCAGTTGCTCTGCTCTCTTCCACTGGCTTCCTAGGACCAGCCCAAGAATAAACTGCTATAAAGCCTAATGAAGCCTTAATTCAAAAGATGTGTTTCCTCTTCTAGGACACCTGGGGTGAACTCCTCATTGGCAACGTAGAAATGAAAAAGGTGTTGTCTTGTCCCAGGTAAGGATTCTCACGAGACTGAACTTCTCCGGCGTGGCTCACCCATCGGTTTGTAACTGTCACCTAACCCTTCGTTATTGTGTGACAGGTGCATTATGACCACAGTGGACCCCGATACCGGAGTGATCGACAGGAAGGAGCCGCTGGAAACACTGAAGAGGTAGAGCATCAACATGTCTGGTGTATTTTTAATATTATCCCCGTCCTTGAACTACGTGTGTCTGTAGGCGCTTTGTCTGGGCACCTTTCTGCCTTCTGGTTGCTTTGTGGCTGTTGGTTAATGTGAGTACTTGTTGTTTTCTCTGTCTTTTTTTTTTTTCTTTTCCTAGATGGATCTTCTAGTGCTTTTGACAAAATTTTAAGTGTAAAAATCCTATGTTTTAAAATTTTCATCTCTCATCAATTTTTAATAGCATTTACATGTGTTTGTAAATTAAGACCTCAAATTATTTTACTTTGATGGCAACTCATATTTGTTTATTAGAATCAATGTCAAGGGATATGAGAATAATTGAGACGTAAAATGAAATATTTGAAAAAAGGGAATGGAATGAGTTGTCAGAGTTTGTTTATACAGGAGCTTCTTCTGGCCTGGGGTGTTTTGTTATTTAGAGAATTTTGACTGACTTTAGTTCTCAGTGTAGAATCTGTTTTTTTAAAAATATGTTTTATGGCTTTATTTTTTTAACCTGAGTTTTTGGCAGGGGGTAGGGGGAGGGAGGTAATTAGGTTTGTTTACTTGTTTATTTTTAGAGGAAGTACTGGGAGTTGAACCCAGACCTCCTGCATGTTAAGCATGCGCTCCACCACTTGAGCTGTACCCTCTACCCCCAGCCCCCCAGAAGAGGTTATTTCTTGAAGCCTTCAGATTTACAACTCTATTTTGTTTTTTGATTTTTAAGACACAGTGAAGTTATTTTTTTTTTTTAGACAGGCCTTAAAATTTTTTAACTTCAGTAATAGTCCAACCCACTTATTAACTGCATCTCTGTCTTCACTTTTCTTCACCAAACAACCCCAGCTTGGGGCTTATAAACTGGGAGAAGTAGAAAGGATAGAATTCAAGGACATCCAAACTGTAAGAGCATCAATTTCCATGATTTGAGAAACTGGAGGTACACATGCAAACAGAGTATTTATTTTGAGTAACACATACAAGTATTTTCCTCTGGCTTTCATACCGAAGCCACAGAAAAGTTGTTTGGACTCTCAGCACATTTCTGGAAAAACCAGAATTATTTCCAGTTTGACTCATTGCCCCCAGACTTCTCTGTCCACATTTCAGAAAAGGCTTGCTGCTTGTTTATAGGTAGTGAGAGAATGAACAATTTTAGCCTATTGAATTCTATTGAAAGCACTTAGATTATCTCCTCTGTGTGCCTGAGGGTGAATTTTTGCTTCTTTTAGCTACCGCCTGTGTGATCCTTCTGAGAAAGCAATTTACAAGTCGTCCCCTCTTTTTGGAATCTATTATTCGGTGGAAAAAATCGGAAGTCTGAAAGTTGGTGACCCCGTGTACCAGATGGTATAGTGACAGATCCACTAGGATGATTACGGTAAAGGACCAGGGTTGCTTCTGGAATGCGGTGCCTTGAAGCCCCTGCAGTGTTTTCTTCTGATGAGATGTTTTTATGTTTTGCTGCCTTAACTCTTGGGAGAATGCGTGGTTTGTGTTCTAATCTTTAGAGCTGGAAAATGCCCTTTATTTTTATTCCCCTCGGCTATCAGTATTCTTCCAGCCTCTTTCACCCCATTTTCCCACCCAGCTATAAAATGTGGATGCAGGAGCCCCAAGACAAGGGCCAGGAGGTGTGGGGTTGTTAGTTTTTATGGGCTGTTTTTCACATGTTAACAAGTGGGAGGATTATTCCAACTACTTTGGGGAAGGGGCTGCGATTCCCAGGAATTCGTCCACCACTCACTTTTTGACCTTTTATGATCAGCCTAGGAACTGTCCTGAGACCAGTGGGAGCACCATTTAGCAGCTATTGTATTACAATGTGCATATAATGAAGCTCAGGGTCTACTGGGAGTTGAATCTCCTGCCATGTTGGTGCTCATTGCACTTTAATGGTTGTGCCCTGCTCGCTTCCCTTCTGTCTCACTTTGGACCTAAGTGCCCTTTCAGCATTTTTTATCACCACTTCCCTGCACAAACCCTGAGCACTTCCCAATGGCTCTTTCCTGCTTCTCTGCTCTGAACACAAGCGCCAGCCCCTCAGAGCCCCACCCAGGGAGCTTTATACCTGGTCTTCCCTGCTGCCCACCCCCCACCCCCAGCACTGAGAGGTCTCCTCTGTTGGGCTTTAAAAATAACAACCTTATTCCTCCACTCTGATTGTGAGCCTACTGTGGTTTCTGCATGCTGGAGGAACTTCTTTATCCAACAGGTTGATTCAAGCCATTAAAAAAACAGCTGTCCATACTTGCACCAGGATTACCTGAGTTGTTTATCCATTTAAAATACAATTATACAAAAGTTTATCTTGTGAACAAAAAATACTGCAAACCATATCAGTAAACAAAGAAGCCATCAAGTCATCAGTGGTGGCCGCCACCCCCCAGTGAAGACAAGCCTGCAGCCTGGCCTCGGCAGCCACTCGCAATGGTGCCCTCTGAGGGGACTCACAATAAGAAAGGACAGGATACTGGCCCTAGATAGCTGGGTGCTTGTCAAAGGAATGAATTCAATGAGCCCAAACGTTTGCTCCCTCCCATACACAGAAAGGTGTTTATTTAAATTATTTAACTTGAGATGTCTGGTTTTCTTCAGTTAACAAGTAATCTTTTAATGTTCCAACTACCTGGTCTTTGTTGTAAAACTCCTATACATCCTAGCTCCTCCCCTGCGTCTTCAGAGCAGACCCTCAGAGCCATCTGAGAGGCTGTCCTCCTGACTCGAGTCCTCCTGCCAAATGAAAAACATAACTCTCAACTTTTAGGCTGTGCATTTATGTCTGTCGACACATTTGAACATCAAAAGAATATTGCTAGTCACAAAGAATAGACATCTCAAGTTAATGATTTTAGTACTTTTCTGTGCACGGGAAGATGCAAGAGTCTTGGGCTCATTGAAATTATCCCACAGATATGCATCTTAACTATCCAGGGCCAGTATCCAAAGCACAGAATGCTTCCCATTTTTTTCTCCATCCTGAATTCCCTCCAGGGCGTACTTTCTGAAGGCAGCTGCCTGGCTGATGGCTTGATCCTCGTAGAACCGGGATGGCGGACAACATCCTTTGTTTACTGAAATGGCAGGCAGCATCCCCTGTCCACATACCATATGGTATATGTACACAGATTTATATATGTGTATATCTATGAACTATGAGCTTGTGAATATGTATGTATGAATTATGAACTATGTGTATGGAGCCGGCTGGCATTCTCTGGAGTCATAAAACCCCCACTCCAGGGCTCTCTGTGTGCCTGGAGCCATTGAGACCCTAACCCCCACTCCCCACTGCAGAACCACTCTGCATACCTGCATTTCTGCAGGATAAAAATATCTCTTGAAGTGTGTTTACCCTAACAAAACCCATCGCCCCGGGAGATAGGCGGTCTCATAATACCCCAGGGGACAGGTCTCACAGCCTGCCCTTTTCAAAGTCGTAAATCCTGTGGTTCAGAGTGGTCCCTGACATATCTTACAACCAATCAGGTACCTGTTCACACATTGATCATGCAGCCCCAGCTCCTTGTTTGCACAGCCCCCTCCCCCCAAATAAAAGGCCCTGTGTGTTGGCCCCGCTGCTAATGCAGGTGTCTTGCCTGTGTGGCCTCCTGTTACCTGTAGCAGCACATCTATTAAACTTTCCTGAACTTTTCTCTGTCTCTGATAATTCTTCTATCAACCCACGTCACCGGCCCGCCGTGTTGTGCCGACAACAGTAAGCACTTTTCATAGTTCTCCAACCTATTCAGATGTCATGTTTGATGGCCTCATAACATTCCACTCATAAATACATGACATTTTTTAAACACCATTTTACAGTATTTGACACAGACTATATCTAATTTTGTTTTAATAATATTCTAGTATATACCTTTATATCAGAGCATTTTAAAACTGTGTCTTTCTGTAAGTTAAATTTATAAAAGTGGAATCACAGGCTTGTGGGGTGTAGACATGTTTCCCAGCATCTTGACCGATTGCTTTCAAAAGGGTTCTTCCCACCTGTACCCTTACCTGCCACGTGAGAGAGATCTCTCTGGCTCTGGGTCTTTACCAGACATGGGTGTGCAACTCAGCCTTAACAGGCTGCATTTTCCATTAAGGTAATTTGGTGCAGAACATAGCTCTGCATTTTAACCT